GCGTGCTATTCAATCCTCACGGGCAGAACTACAGACGTGGTACTAATACAATACCCATTTCACAGATAAGGAAACTTGGCTTGTTAGCAAGCCAAAGTTACATATGCAACCAGGCAGCGGGTGACACTGGGATCTGCACCTATTCATCCTGGTGCAGAGGGAGGAGGAAGATGCTCAACAGACCAGGCAGGGAGAGTAGGGACAATGGGGATATGGCTGCCGCAGTCTGGGACCATCCCAGGACCAAACAGTAGGCTTCCTAATCCACGTCCTCAGGCCTGAAAACAAACAGCCCTCACAAACTCACCGCTAAGCCTGCTTCCTAAGGTCCTGTCCGCCCTGAGCCCTCAGCAACATCTCTTGTAACACTGCGCCTCCTGCGAGTTACTTTCCTCCTGGCAGCCAGCACGATCCTTTTAAAACCAAATCATATCCTGTCGCCTCTCTGCTCAAAATGCCTGGTGGAGCAGATCTCATGCAGAGTAATGGTCAAACGCCTAACAATCATCTCCAAGACCTCGGCAGCCGTACTGACGACCTCACTGTTGCTCTAATGCAGCGGACATGCCCCAGCCCCAGGGCCTTTGCACCTGATGTTCTCTTTGTCTGGAATACACTTCACCCCCAAAGGACTGGTTGGCTCAGTTCCTCATCTCTTTCAGGTCCTTGTTCAAGAGTCACCTCCCTAGTGATGCCTTTCCTGAACAATCACCAAATTCAAGAGGCAACACCCCTCCACCCCTCCATCTGCCTATCTCCCTTTCTGCTCTTTCCCCCATAGTGCTTGTGACATCTGGCAAGCATATATTTTATGCATTTGTCCCATCCATCACACTCGCTCTGGAACACCAGCTCTCCCAGGGAAGGGATTTCTGTCTGTTTTGTTCACTGCTATTTCCTCAGCATCTGGGGCAAACCCAGTACAGTAGGCACTCAATAAATACCTGTAGAATGAACCAAAAAGTATTGGTTTTCCTGTCTTCTCCCCTACTCTCCCATACAGAGTTCTAGTCAATTGTTAGGCAACTGGTACACAGAAGGAAGCAATGAGTCACTCAGCATCTTCTACCCCTGGTCTCCAAATGGGGGCCTTTACTCCACAAACCTTTAGCTGGCAAAAAAGGGGCAGAGTTCCTCACTATACTTCATTACAAAAACTGCATTTCTTTAGAATTTCCAAGTGAAGGCCTCCAATCCCCACGTCCTCAGAACACTCGGTTTGGCTGCTATTGTACTACATGATTTGTGACCTGCACTCCAGGTCAGCACTAACCTCAAGCACTGGATCACTGGTTTTGTAAAACCCACCCACATTCAGTTGTTCCTTAAGGTCAGGAACATCACCACCTCTCCTGTCCCCTCAATTTAACACTAATTCTTTAGCGGCCCATCTGTTGGTTTTGGGAATTAGCCAGAGGTCCTCTGGAGAAGTAACAAAATTGTGTGTTCTAGGCCAAAGGGGAGGCATAGGGATGAAAGAGAGCCTGGTATAATAACAGAATGCACAGTGGCATGGCTGGGAGTGAAGGGCCATGTCAGCGGGCAGAGGTCCTTCATGGTCATTCCTGCCCCCCAGCCCTCTAGCCTCATTGTGACTTTGCAGAACCTTAAGATCTTCATTTCTTCATCTGAAATAGAGACTAACTTAGTTTCAGTGCTCTAGAGTCCATCTGGGCTAGGGTCACTGCTAATGTTCTCCTAATGCTTTAACGTGTCATTCACTCCTCAGATCATCGACTCGCTATCCAGCCATACTGTGCAATCACCCAGGAGCTACTCCAGAGTCCCCCATCTTCTTGGTCAGCCCCAGTCCTGGGCCCTAACAGACTCCTGGAACCTTACTCTGAGAAGCAGGAGGGTGCAGTAGGTGAGCCCAAGCAACAGAGAAGTCAGACTTGGGCAGACTTCTCCCTGATTTCTAGCTGTAGGACCATCAACTTCTCTGTGCCTCAGTTTCCTCATCTGTTAGGTGGGGATAATATGAGCACCTCCTTCCTAAGGTCGTTATAAAGAATACACACAATTAATAAATGAATACAGTAAATCGCTCAGCTCAGAGCCTGACATGGATGTCCTTTTTGAACACATAGCAGTAATTATTAATAGTACTTTTGTCTTTATATTTCAAGTCACATGTGCTCCAAAGGTTTTGGCTGGCCCTCCTTGGTGTATATTACACTGCTGTGGTAATAACACAGGGCTCAATTACTCAGTGTAGGTGGTGCAGAGCCTAGGTTAGTAGAGATGGCACACATGCCACCCATCCCCTTCCTGGACAGGCATCAATAATCAATCTCCACACACTTTTCCCACAGTCATAGCCTTAGGTGGCCACTGGCACTGCGGGAAAACCCACCTGTGCAAACCTGGCTACAGTGACCTGGCAGAAGCTTGGGTGGGGGTTGGAGGGGAGGGTTTAATGCATTAGAGATTGAGGACAAAGACCACATCCCTGCAAGAGTGATGGGGTGGTGGAGCTGCTTCTTCTTTTCACTGCTGTGAACTCAGAAGACATTGCCATGTCTGTTGATACATAAATTAGCATCAGACCCTTCTAAGACCATAGCACACAGCACTGGGCCTGCCACAGCAGGTATACAATGAATGTGGAGGGCAGGAGTGGATGGTTAGACTCTTGTTTGAGCACAGCACTGCTGAGTAGAAGAGGCACCAGCTCTAGCAGGTTGAGGCCTTCTCTTCTGGTGATCTGAGCAGGGCCTTTCTTCTGGATGGCCTCCAACTCCACAGGTGTATAATGAGAGAAAGGACAAGACTAGCTCCCAGGCCCCTGCCAGCTCTGACCTTCTCATCCAAGAAGCATTTCCAGGCTTCCAAACAGTTTAAGGAGGTTGCTACCCTGGAGGCTATGGCCTCACACACTGTCCACATAACACAGCACACTGGACTATGAGTATCACTATCACCTTCTTCATAGGCCCCAGCTGGCTGCCTGCTCTCAGTCTGTGCTCTACCCCGCCAGTCCACACTCCCTACCTTTGTCACCCCACTCTTCCCTCTTCTCTTTCATGGTATCAATGGCCCAAGTGCCTGCTGGGCCCAAGTCACAGCAGTGCACAAGACATACGTGGCCACTGCCCTGAACAAGTGGTGCTCTAAGAGACAGAAAAAGAAGTGCACAAGTAACTGAACTAAAGAGAGTAGGCAGGCTATGGAGGCCAGAGACCACCAGCCTCAGGATGGGACACAAGTATCTTGAATAAGGGGTCAGGGAAAGCTTCCCCAAGGGGAACTGAATAGAAGCCTGAAAGATGAAGGATACTAGACAGAGAGGACATTCCAGGCAAAGCTCGTGGGCAGGAGGCAGTTCAGGCTGGGAGTCAGCAAACTGCAGCCTTTCTATATGTACTTATTGTCACCTATGGCCACTTTCCTGCAGCACTTGCAGAGTGGGGAAACATCACAGAGACCAGATGGCCTTTAAAACATAAAATATTTGCCACGACCTACAAGGCCATGTGGGTTGCAGTGACCTCCTGCCTGGTTCACAGCCTCCAATCCACGGTATGAAAGGCTGCCGGGGTAAACTTACTCAAACACAAAGCCAAACACATTCATCTTCTGCTCAAAGAACTTCAACATTCTCCAGAGATTCCCACGGTGCACTCCAAGGACCACTCACTCAGTGGGGTGAAATGCAATAAAGACCCCGTGGTTGGATCACAGTTCGAGGCCAACCTGGGCAAAAAGTTGGTAAGATCCCATCTCAAGCAATAGCTGGGCACAGTGGTGTGCATTGGCCATCCCAAGCTGTGCGGGAGGCTGAGATCAGGAGGGTCATGGCCCAGGCCAGTTCAAACCAAAAGAGGTTGTGAGCCCCATCTCAATGGGAAAAAAAAGCTCGGTGTGGGGCACACCTGTCATGTCAGTGATGGCAGGAGGCATAAAATAGGAGGGTCACAGACCAGGCCAGCCTGGGCAAAAAGTGACACCCCTCTCTCCAAAATAACCAGAACAAAAAGAGTGTGAGGCTGGTTTTAGTGATACAGCGCCTGCCTCACAAGCACAAAGCCCTGAGTTCAAACCCCAGTATCACCAAAACAAGAGGAAAAAAAAAAAAGGTTTTGAGAAACATGACATTTTCATCTCTCGGATTCTCCAACCATGCACATTAGCACAGTAAAGGCTCTGAAAAGTCGCTCAGCAAAAAAAACTGTTTGACTTTGTTTAATCACTTGTCCTCCAAATTTATTTGGCCACAGAAAGAATGTTCTCAGTCCCCCACAAAAACCTATGAACATTTTAAAGAACTGGTGTTCAGGGGCAAAGGGCAGACTCTTCTACCTGGCATTCAGGCTGACCCTCTAGTTCAGCAGAGCACATTCCACAATTTACATATGTGCCAGGGAGCTGTCTCTCCTCTCTGTCCTCCAATGCCCCAAACAAAGGTCATGTGGTCACTCCAGGTCTGTTTTACCCAAGGGGACAGCAGCAGCACCGGTGCTAAAGTTATCAAGTGCCTAGCTGAGCACTTGTAGTACCATTACAGCTTGGGTCTGTCTGGTGTCTCTTTCTCACTTTGATAATAGCCCAGCTTGCCTTCAGGGCCACCCCCTCCTGTCTCCTGCCAGTTTCAAGGGTGAGGATGAATCCCGGTATGGTTCATCAGAGTGCCTCCCTGCCCTGCTTTGAAATGACTGATTCAGGGAGAACTCAAGACCCCAGCACACAGAACAAGGAATTCCACATGGGGATGGCGCCTGCTCCCCCTGGAGATCACACCACAGTACCAAGCACCCAGTCTCGTGGCTTCATCCCTAAGCTTGCCCCAACTTTAGTGCCACTGGCCAGCTTAGGAATGAGGATCCTTGGATTCCAGTCACAGGTGCCCACGGATGATACTCAAAAGTGCTCTCCACGTCCTCACATCCTCTGGGGAAGTGCACACACCTCTCAGCAGAGCTGGCCTAGATCACTATCCTTTTGGGTGTGGAGGCCAGAGAGTGGACAGGGAAGGTTGCCACTGGGGCCAGGGGACATACCTGCTTGCAGTGCTTTTCCTTCCAGCTGCACTGGCTCCGTCAGCCTGCAAAAGAAACCCAAGCACCTACATCAGCCAGTGCAGAAGACATAGATTCTACCTACTACCATCCAGCCCAGTTCCCCAGAACTCTGGCCTTCATCCTGCCTCATCCCTCCAGGCTGGAAATCCTGCTACAGGGGCAAGAGGGAGTTAGGCCACCCCTCCCCACCCCTATTTGCTTGGCCCTTTAAATGCAGCCAAGCACCCACTACCAAGGCAAACCCAGCAAGCACACACCCTGGGGACCCAGTGAAAAGTAAGTAACCAGTTAAAGCTGAGATTGAATTGCACCACTTTTATTTTCAGCTGGGATTTCCAATAAAACAGTAGCTGCAGATTTATTCCTACCAACCGGAGGGGAAAAATTCTATTATGTTAAAATATTCTGTCCCCCAACCCTATGAGCAGGGAGAGGCAAGAGAGGGCTGATGCTTAATCTCTTTTATTTGGGGGTGGGGAGGATGGGAGATAAGGTTGACCAAATGAAATTTCTACAAATCATGAAATTTCAGGTTCAGATGGAGAGCAACTAGGGCCCTAGACACAGAGGGGACACCTAAAGTCTCCTGAGGACCAAATGACCAATACCCAGGGTCCTGACTCTCAGACAGACACTCACAAAGACCTGGATGCAGAGGCCAAGAGAGGTTGCAGACACAGGAGCAACACCAAGATCCTCCACCTCCACTGGATGAGAGGCAACCACCCCCCAGCTGTTTCTAACAAAGCCTGCACAGTCAGGAACCTCAGTCAGAGTAACACAAGTCTGAAACTGATGCACGTGCTTTCAGATTCAGTCTTTCCAAGTTTACAAAGGCTACACTGTATATGTCCCATATTTGGACACACAGGGTCTGTGGAGTCTGTGGTCCTCAGCAACCTGGTATCTCTGTGGTGAAACACAGGTATGGGCAAATCCACACAACAAAGTATACTTTGAACAAACCAACAATATATAAAAATGGAACTTCACCCCCAAAAAGTCCAGATTTCCAGCTTTTCTTTAAAAACTGGACAATCCAGTGATACCCAGCCTTATATGGAAAAGCAGCTAGAGCTGACTTACCTACTTCTCCAGTCCCCACCCCTCCCTCTTCTCTCACCTCCAGCTATCCCTCACAGCTGCCCCTGTGGCTATCCACATGGGTTCTCTCAGACAACTTCCTACCAGGTGCCAGTGAAGGACATTACCATCTTGTCTCATTTAATTCTCTTTTGGATCCCCACCCTGCACATACAATGTTCCTACTTTACAGGGAAAGACACAGAGGCACAAAGAGTAAGTCCCACAGCTCAGGTTTGGATGTGGATCTGTCCAAAGGCATTCTTCCTCAGCTCTGCCAATGGAGGAAAGCCAAATGGGAAATGAGGAGACACCACAGAGCTCTCATTTTCCACGTAAGGAAAGTGGAAAAGTTAAGGATGGATAGGGAAGGAGAAAGGTTAAGGTCTGGAAGGAAAAAATTACTGGATGACAGTGCATGATTCCAACAGAGGAAAACTAGAAGGAGGAAAGGAATTGCGTATCACTTGGGAGCACAGCCACAAGATCACTGTCAATCTCTTTCCTCCATCTTGCATTGCTCAAACTTACATATAAAGCTATTCTAATGTTGGGCCCCAAGAGAGAAGCAGTCAGGGTGAAGTTCTGCCCCACAGAACTTTCAGAAAGTACAAAATCTTAAAAGATCTCTGGCCATTCAAACTTTAACTCTGGGTATGTACTTCTACCACTTTGTGCACATTTTTCATGTCTGTTTTGTCCTTTTCCTTCACAATTTTACGCAAGCTTGACCAGGTCAAATGCAGCTAATGTGCGACAGGTGGGGAGGACATGACACTGTTTTGGGCCCATTCTACAACCTCTACCTTTTCTATTTTACTGAGTTCATGACGCTTTAGCTTCACATTACTGGTAGTTATACTCATTTGTTTTATAAAAATGGGTGCCTAAAGAAATGCAAATCAAAACTACCTTAAGATTTCTTCTCACCCCAGTTTGCATGGTTATCTTCAAGAGAACAAACAACAAATGTTGGCCAGGATGCAGTGAAACAGGAACCCTTATACACTGTTGGTGGGAATGTAAATTAGTACAATCATTTTGGAAAGCAGTAAGAAGATTCCTTAAAAAACTAAAAATAGAACCACATCCGATCCAGGGATACCACTCCTGGGCGCATACCCGAAGGAATGTAAGTCAAGATACAATAGAGCCACTTGCAGACTGATGTTTGTTGTAGCACTATTCACAATAGCCAAGCTATCGAAACAGTCAAGATCCCCCATAACTGATGAGCAGATTAAGAAAATGTGGCATACATACACAATGGAGTATTACTCAGCCATAAAGAACAAAGAAATGATGCTATTTACAAGTAAATGGATGGACCTGGAGATCATATTAAGTGAAGCCAGCCGGGTTCAGAAGACAAAGGTTACATGTTTTCTCTCATATGTGGTAGATCCAAGATAAATGAATACATAAATACAAACATGATATATAGAACATATTTGCATTAGTGGGACTGCCTGATTAGGATGAGGGAAAGGATGGAGAGGAAAAGAAAATGACACAGAGTGTGAACAATATCAAAATATACCGCATCTGTGCATGTAGATGACATAATGAAACACATGAAGAGCTGTTGAATAATGGGGGAAGAAGGTAAAGGGTAAAGGCAGTTAATGTGACTAAAGCACAGTGCATTTGCAGGTGAAATACCACAGTGGAACCCCTGTGAACAATGAACTTAAAAGTGAGGGACAGCAACATAGAACAAGTCCTGTTAGAAGGTGGGATGCGTGGGAGGAGGGAGACTGAATGGAGAGGTAAGAGAGGGTGAATGTGTTGATGTACTTCGTATACTTGTATGAAAATAGAACAGTGAAACCTGTTGACATCGTTTTTAAGAAGGGGATGAAGGAAGATGAAGGAGAACGATGGGAGGGATGAACCTACCCAAGGTACGTTGTAAGCACGTATGGTAATGTCACAACGAATCTCCCCTGTACAACATGCTAACAATAAAAATGTTTTTAAAAATGGGTGCCAAAAACACAATGCCAAAAATATTCAAACAGTTGCCTAAACAAATGCTTGGTTTGGTGGGTGGGTGAGGGAACTGTGGTTTGAACTCAGGGCTTCCCACTTGCTAAGCAGACACTCTAGATTGAGCCATGACTCCAGCCCTTTTTACACTAGTTATTTTGGAGGCAGTGGCTCACTTTTTGCCCAGGCAATTAGGATGATAGGCACATACCACCAAAGAACACCATCCATTGAGATGGAGTCTTGAAAACTTTTTTTGTCCAGATGCACTTATAGAGGCCACTGCTTCCTGGGTTCAGGACAGTGAGGCACAGGAACACAGAACAGTGTGGACAAGATCTTAGAGCAGGTGAGCAAGATGCAGAGACAGCCTGGACTGCCCAGAACCCCATGATGTAAGTCAGCATCTCCTGAGGTCCACCAGACACACCACACAGGGTATGTCCCACCACAGGGACCCAAAATCTTCTACAATGGATCAGGTCAGAAGGACACTGACAGAAGGCAAGGTGTGAGAAGTGACAGCTCAGGTAATGGGACTCACTGCAGCTGCTGTCACACATCATCTTCTGCCAAAGGATGATGGGTTCCTAAAGGATGTAACTTCTTGCCCTGGCTTTGTGTGGGTCTCACCTTGAGCCTTTGACAGTCTCCTTCTCTGGACCTAAGGCTCTCCATGGGTAAAAATGGGGGTGGGGGAGGGCTAAAGCTGAGCCTCTCCCTCTGCCTTCCATCTCTGTTGCTCAATGTTGAGCTGGCCCATGCTTAACCAGATCCTTCTATGGCAATGAAATATGGAGGGGACGAGTCCTAGGGAATACCCTCCTTCTCACTCTTGTATCGCTCTAGCCCCCATAAGGGTGCCTACCCCCCATTCCCAGCCCCATCCGTTCCTTAATCACCAGCTCCCCCACAGGACTAGGACAAGGCTATTTTCGGTTTCATTCCATCCTCTTCTTCCCTCCCAAATGAATGTTAAGTTGTTCTTTTCCATTCTCTTATTAAGGGTTTTCTTGGAAAGAAAATATTATTCCAAACCCAGAAATTTTATTTCTAAATTTGTGCAAATGTAAGTTGTAAGACATTAGCTGCATTTCACATTTTGTGCAAATGGCAGAAACAGGCAATTCGTGTGCTACAGGATGGGGGCTGGCCAACGATTTCGATAAAATAAACCCTTTTTTAATTTAAATGCTAATGCACTGAATTAAAATTTAATAACTGAGGAAATTGAAAAGCCGAGCAGGAATATTGGAAATAAATCCAAGCAGAAACAGCTGAAATTAAAAATTCTAGAGAGTGGGAGGACAGCAGCTAAGCTGTCTTATATGATTACATTTTTTTTTTTTTCAGAATGAAGCAAAAAAAAAAAAAATCCTATCTCTCGCTGGCTCTAGGGCAGTAAATCCACAGTGCTGTGATTTATTGCTCAATTTTCCTGAGGGAAAAAGGCTTTCTTTCATGCTGAAATATTTCATAAATTTCAAGCCAGCAT